GTGCTCATGATGGTCCAGATTCGCTCACTACATCACCAGCCACGATAGTATAACGGTTAGTATACTTCGTTGTGGCCGAAGTGATGGCAGTTCGATTCCGCCTCGTGGCATTCATTACACTTTTGGTGGCGGGAACCAACTTAACAAAAGACCTTTTTACATCCCTGTTTTGTAAGTTTCCTTTTTTTTGGTTCAACGTCGTTGTAAGGGTTCAATTTGTCAGTCACGGTTTTTATTTTGATAATGGCCTCATGAGGCATGTGTGTTCCCATGTTGTCGGATAATTAATGTCGCGCAATAATTTATGCTTCTTTACACGTGAAACATACTCCATTTCAAGACCATACAGGACTCTTTCTGTTCTCAAAAACGACCTAACATATCTATATGTGGAGATTGCCATAGCCAATAGGAGTCTGTTAATATAAATATTTGTTGTCTATTTCATAAAACTATCTTTGAATTACCTTGCACCAATTAGTCGTATGATTACAATAGCTGTAGATGAGTTCGTATAAGCCGTGCCATTAAGAATTGTAGACTAATGACAACCTGACATACCTAACGGAAGGATAAATTGTTCCAAACCAGCAAAAGCCATATAGCCAATAGACCCAATGAAAGCAATATCAGCAATAATGACAAAGACGTTGGCATCAATCAACGATAACGTGCTCAAGGTTAACAAAATTTCGCACTCATATGTTGTCAAAATGAGACTGCTGTCGTCATTTTGCGGAGAGGCTAGAATCCCCAAAAAGCTTATATTATTAAACGAACGCGTTAGTTGAATTGTTGGCACGGTAAACAGGTGATACATTTACCTACCTGCAAGCCAAACATTTAAAAACGCAAGATACGATAGTAAACATCTTCCAACCATAACCAGCATTTTGTTTCAACAAATCACTCCAAGTTGAATATGTAAATAACAAACAAAGCAATGGTACGACTGACAAGAATAAAATTCTAAAAACGAAAAGCAAATGAACAGAATTACTTGATCCACAAATGGCTTGTGGAGTATAAGTACTAAAAGAATTACAATATAAAATAGAATCCAAAATCGCATTACAACATCCGAAAAATGCAAATTTAGCAAGGTAGAATCGGGTTTCAGTGACTATTTGGTTCCATCTCCAGGTTTGAAAGCCAGGGTCCGATGTTGTGGGGTCTGCAGCCCATCCAACAGTTTTACAAAACTTGGCAAAGCAGTACGTTGAAGAAGGTTTGACCTGTGGAGGTGCAGGGTTGGCATGTATTTTATCTTGATGATAGACAGGTAGTTGTAGACTTTCTGATTGCACATCATTATTCGCATTTGGTGATATTTTTTTATTCGGTACTGGTGTGGCTCTCCTCCAAAACAAATTGACCAAATCTTGACGAAAAAGTGTCCAAAATGAAACAGGTTCCTTCACATTTGGTTCAAGTGCCGTCAAGTCATGGTTCTTAATAACTTGAGTTTCAAACCCATTGTCGGTAGTGTTGACACTAACTAGAAATTGACTTTTACTCTCTTCGCGTGGGTGATGATGGTTGTCGCCACAAGATTCAGTGGTATGAAATGTCATAAACGATCCAATATTCTCATATCCACCCAACTTGGCATCCGACTTTTCCTGGCTCCCAACGTAAAGTATGGCTGCAATATCTTTTCGATGAAACTGAAACCCTGAATTCTTCCAAACTTTGTTGACAAACGTATCAGGTGACAGAACGTGTTCCAAAAGAAAAGTTTTAAGAATCATATCATATCGAGTCCTTTCGCGATATTCAACAGTCAGAATACTAAAAATAAAACATCGATTAGATTAAAACTTTCGTCGCAATTTTGCTTTTTACCTTCCATAGTAAATAAGAATCATACCCAACGATTTAACAGGTCCAAAAATGAATACCGCCGCAATATAATGAGCTGACACCGTTGAGATTCCAAACGCAGTTCCAGTGATGATGTTGCTAGTTGCATACATACATATAGCACCATACATGATGAAATTTAATGGATCATAAACGGAAACGAACGATTTTATATGTTGAACTTGGTAAAGTTGAAACCTTTTTTCGATTTCCAAGAAACAGGAAA